AAAAAAAAAAAAATTGGGCTGGCCAAATAGCTCAGTGAATCAAAGCATCTGCAAGCAGGTATAGGGGCCAGAGGTTCAATCCCTGGGCCTGCTGTGCCTGGGCGTGGTGGTGCGTGCCTGTAATTCCAGCTCTTAGGAGGCTGTAAATAGCAGATCACTATAAATCCTATCTAGTAGTGAGACCCTGAACACCCTGTAGACCAGTTTACCAGCGATTAAGGAAAACTTTGACAAAAACTGCTATGAGTTTAAGGACCAGCAATGGAAGACATTCTTGAAGACCAAGTCTGAATATGATAGAGCCATAGAAATCTGTATTAACAAACTCCGTCGAAAATTCTGATGTACAGTCATGCTTGAGAAGCAGTAGTATGGTGTAGAAAAATAAAGAACTAAAACTAATCTAAGTAAGAACTAGATTATGTGGTAAATCCTATATATGATTCCTTAAGTCATACAGGTATTATATCTGCCTGCTAAACTTCAGCTTCCTAAAAGGCTTTATGAAAAACAAACAAAAAAAAAAGGCTTTACAGAGTTTAATAGTTAAGTACGAACTTGCCCCCACTTCCAATCCCACCAGAGTGTAAGATACCAGAAACACAAGCCTGCAAAGATAAACAGGGCCGGCGGGATAGCTCAGCAGACTAAGCACCTGTTTAGGCAAGCTCAGGGACTGGAGTTCAATCCCTGGCACCACATGCTGTGCCAGCCCCAGCCCTGGGCGCACTGAGCTGGCCAGTGAAACTGGCTGCGGTGGTGCATACTTGCAATTCCAGCACTGGGGAGGCTGAAAACAGGAGGATCACTATGAGTCTGAGTTGTATAGTGAGACCCTGTACCAAATACATTAAAAAAAAAAAGACAACCAATATTTTTACATTAATGTTCGTATTAGTTTGTTTTTCTTTGGACTTTCCAATAAAACACACAATAAAGCTTCTAGGAAACACTCACTTTGTTAGATGAGCCTCCTTCACAGTTTTTTGCCAGACCTGAATCTTCTGTTCTCTTTGACTCAGTGCTGTCTGATATTCAGGCGGAAGACCCCCAGGTATCTCTGTTGTGTCCCCTTCCATTTCGAAAGGAATAACAAATACATAAAATTCGCATGGGGGTAAGAGCTGGAAGACACTTGAGTCACTGTTTTCTCTGCAGAGGATCATTGGGTTGTCCCAGTAGTTAGGCACTGTAGCAAGCCCTGTCCTGGCCATATGATCCTCTAGCATTGGATAATGGGTATGGAAAGGAGCAAAAGTTATGCTCTGGTTCCCAGAGAGAATAAGTGGGCGCATAGGCGTCAGGATGTGAAGGGTGCAACTTGCTGTAGAGGAGATGGACAAACGATGGCAAACAGCAATCACTTTAACACTGTCACAGGAGTGGAGGTGAAGAGCAGTCTCTACAGGGCCCAAGACAAAGGTGCTGTTTCTGCACTTGTCAATTGTCACAGATCTGAAAAATTCAAAAGTGAGGTAA